ATAATATATATTATGCCAGAGAAAATAGCTTGTTTTAGAATGACAAACCAATGATGTTCATTTGTTTTACTTGATGGCAAAATCCCGTGTAGGTCAGACCCATTCAACTCTTTTATTTTATGGTTAGCGGTTAGCCCATTAGATACCATGCATTAGTTTATTGTTAAATTTTTTATTTTTAGCAATAAAAATGACTATTGTTTGCCTTTTCATATATATTTTATCACCAGGAAGACATAAAAGGGGGTCTAAAGAAAAAAATTGACACTCCTGGACCCGTTTAAATCCGCATGTGTACGGTAAGTTGGCCCGTTCCACAGAGAAAAGAGAAAAAAATTGACACTCCCTATTCTACCCTTCCTACAAACGCTCCTGGAGCAGAGAATTTGAAATGGGGGAAGGGTTTTTTCCTCCCTGCTATTATATGTTTTTAATTTAAAAAGATACAACAAATCTACTTAGTTTGATTGGTTATGATCCTTGCTTTTCTTTAAAATGGTCATGGTTCGAATCCCAATACTTGTTTTTTTAATGAATAAAAAAAAATAATTGTAAAGACCAAAATGTCCTTCCTACTTTCCTACTTTCACTCTCGTTGCAGGAAATTTGAAATGGGGCTCCCGTTTTTCCCTTCGATGTATTATATTATGTGTAGATCCACGATTGTGGGTATAACTGTCATTCCTACTTGTGATTAGTCTCAATTTCTAGTTTAATACGCTCTATATTTGAGTATAGTTTTTCTTTAGCCTATTTGGGAAAATGGTGGATACTGCATAGCATGCAACATGTGGATTAGACTCTTCTTAATAAACATGAATTTTTTTTAATTCGTACGCATATATTTATGTGAAAAACAAAATTAAAAGGGTTCAATATAATTAGTTCGATGGCCAATGTAACATTCAAAGGACAAGGGTAAAAAACTGAAAGGATTCTAATTAATCGATTCAACGAAAAGAGTAAAGCTGGACAATATAATTAAAGATTAAATCCTAATTAGATCCCTATCTCTCATCCTTTTATTTAATAGCTAAAAATCTCTGGTATTCAGAACTGGACCGGACACTTAAGTGAAAAAGTTAGTGGTTTAGAGTTTAGTGATTGATCGTTACAAAATCGTTAGTTAACCGTTAATAGAACCGTTCACAATATATAATATACCAGACTTGTATATTACACTATTTTAAGAATGAAGTTGTCATTGACCACAAATAGTTTCTAATTCATATGATCACCAAAATATCAAACAAATCATTCAAACAGTCTCACAAAATAAATCACAATTTTCTTAATTCGCGTTAAAAATTACGGTGCAGTCGGTAGTGGACCACGTAAAGTCAACAACGATATTAAAATGAGAAGAGGAAGAAGGAAAAAATAATAATTGTGGTTTGATGGTATTAATTTATGTGAAGTATTTTTTTAAAAAAAAATTGTGATTAAAATAGTAAACCTGTGCACCAGTTAAACCATGTTGGTCCATCTGACTTTATGTTGAACCGTGAAAAATCATTTGGTCCATCAATAATCGTTTAAATAATGAACCAGACCGTTATCAAAACAGATTTTGTGGTTCTACTTGTCTAGCCGTTCATCTAGTTCGATTCTTATAACAATCCTAAAAATCAAATTCCAAAGGACAATTTTTTAATCTAAAAAGCAAAATAAAGTAGGCGGCATTTCCATTGATGAGACGCCAACAAGGACTGTTATTTGGCTTAGATGCGGGACGACTAAAATTAGGCAGCCAGTATATAATTTATGCTCCCTGTTCGGTTTTGGGGACGGCACTTCTACGGCAAGTTAAAACAAAATTAGGCAGCCCAGACATTTTATTGCATTAAACACAATTAAATCAAAATAATTAATCTAACATAAGTGATTTGGCAAGTTAATTATTTAACTTAAGCAAGCCTAACTTTGGAGTCATAAGCAGCTCCAGCCTTCCAGAGAGTGTGCAGCTTGTGCGGACTGACTGTAGGGACGGAGCCAAGTAGACCTGTCAAATTATAACCTGACTCGTTGATCCGAAACCGCCTAAAAACTAGAGATTTTTGTAACTCAAAATCCGAATGACCCGAACTCGATAATCCGTGATTTTTTGGGTCGGTTGGGCGGGTTAGCGGGTCGACCCGTTAAGCCAATTCCATTTTATATATCACTCCCAAAATAATAAAATCACTCATAAATTGGTGAGATGTTTAAAAAAAATCACAAGGATTTGAATGACATGTTTGGAGTTTAAGGATAATCAAATATAATGTGTTTTTTGTAGTAGTATTACTCTTGTGATTGTTTTTTTGACGATTTGCGCAATTTGTATTTCATTTCATTAGCGTGGAAGGATTTGAGAATATGTTAATTGACATGTGTTAGGTAAACTATTGTTATGCATATGTGAAAATTTGTGTTCTTTAAGAAAATATGAAGCATGTTTGATATTGTTTCTGAGAACGCTCATAACCCGAAATGACCTGTAACCCGACCCGAAACCGAAAGGGTTTGGTTAATATTTGACCCGAAATCAGTCAACCAAACATGACCCGACCCGTAACCGAAGTCCCCAACCCGAAATTACCCAACCCGACACGATTGCCAGGTCTAGAGCCAAGGAAAGCACAAGCAAAGAACGACATGGAGTTTGGTATAGTTTGGAGATTCATTGAATAGGGCATGGAAGGGAACACGGCTACAAAGAGTAGAGATGGTAGGCGATTAATAAGATAGATAATAGTGGTGAAAGCATAAGACCATGCAATAGGAGAGAGGAAGCTTAGCTTGATGAAGAAGAGCAATCCCTGTTTCAACAATGCGAGGATGTTTTCGTTCAAAAAGACCATTGTGTTGCGTACACGGTGGGGGTGAGAAGATGAGTATTGCCACTATCAATCAGGGTAGATTTAAGTTTTTCAAATTCACCACCCCATCAGTGTAAAGACGACGAATACGAGTGGAGAAATAATTTTTGACGAGTTTTGAAAGTTACAAAGGTGGACAAGACATGTGACTTACGTCGAAGGGGATAAATCCATGTGTAGCGAGTGAAGTGATCAACAAGAACCAAGTAGTAGGAAAAACCATCAACGGAGGAAATAGGAGCAGGACCCCAACGTAAGAAAAGATTAAATCAAGGGGACGAGAGCTAGAAAAAGTGGAATCAGAAAAAAGAAGTTTAGGACTTGTATTGGATAGACAAGAAGTCCAACGAGAAAAAGAGGACTTGGCATCTACAGAAATAGAATTGTTCTAAATAAAAGACACATAGATTTAAACGACGGATGACCTAATAGTAACCAACGTTAGCAGCACAGCCTGAGGCTCTCCTGGCAAAGTTTAACAACCGAGATAAGACATTTCTTAAGAGCAGGAACACAAAAGAATGTCCTTAAGACTGAGGGGACAGTTTGACGAAGATGGCAAACGAGAAGAGCCAATGTGGGTGATATGCAAACCTGAACCATCACCAAATAGACTTCATCAGGTCCATTGTAGTCCAAATAAAGAGCGAGATTGTCAAGGTCAGGAGTAATGTGATGAGTGGCATTTGAATCCATTAACCAGGGTTCAGAGCGAGAAGCAACAGGTTGTGAAGAGGATCCCGCGGTATGATTAGCTTGGGATGGACGCTATTGAGGAAAGAGTTGGAAACATTAGCGCGTAGAGCGCCCTGCCTTCTAGCAATATTGGCAGTAGATACGAGCACGACGAGGAGTGCCATTAGGATCAGTAGTCAGCGGAGACCAAGAATCAGAAGGAGTCGAGGAACGAGAGGAACTGCCACTGGAATTGGAGGAGAGGTCGGACCCACGGCCAGGGACAACACCTCGGCAACCCCGATAGGCGTCGTTACTGCATTGAGTAAAACACAGTGGTAGGTTGATCGCGATGTCGGGCAGCAAGATGAGCTTCCAAAGCCACAAGCCGATCGAGTAAATTCTCAAGAGATGGAGGGGTCTCACGAGCACGAATCCCATCAGAGAATTCGGCATAATCATCACCAAGACTGTGAATACAATAGGTGACAAGTTCATCATTGAGGACGGGTGAACGAGCCAAAGCCATCTCGGAGGTAGTGGAGTGGAGGGAATGAACAAAGGTGTTGACAATACAATCGCCTTTCTTCTCAGCAAGCAGACAATCTCGGATCATGATACGAGATCGGGAATTGTTGGCATGCAGACGAAGCAGAGACGCCCAGGCCTCATCAGAAGGAAGAGACGAGCTATTAATGGGCAGCACAACCTTAGAGTTAGAAGCAAAGATTTCGTTAAAGTTAAATATTCTCAATGTGAAGTAGTGCAAGAATCGGTGACCTCTCGAGAATCACTATAATGCGTCAAAAAGCAATACCATAAGTGAATAGTTTCAAAGCGGACAATATCTTAACCAGAAAAGATATTTAGATGGTTGAATGAAAGTCATCCCCCCCCCCCCCCCCATAAGTGTGTGGCTCTGAGAGCTGCCAGTTTTCTGGTTATCTCTTGTGCGATTTGCCCTCTTCCATTGATTGAGTATGTTGCGTCTCTAGAGAGAGTTGAGGACCGGTTTCTACATTGCTTCCTCATTTCTTTCTGGCTTGGCAAGTGTTGTGTGTAAAGAGTCGGATGATTTCTAATAGGTTTGCTACTCATTAACTTGAAATTTGCATAAATCTATTGTATTATGTTCGACATTAATTGTTAATGTTGAGATTCGTAAGGACTTGAAGACGATATATACTTCATTGTCAAATCATTTCTGATATCATGTTCAATATTGAAAAAATGCTAATTATGAAACTTATATCACTTTTTTATTCAGAATCAACTATATAGTTTATTCACTTCAACCATAAAGAAAATGAATTTTACAAACAGGATCTGTGTTTATTATTCGCATCATTATTACAAAGACTCGTCAAATCAAAGTGTACCCACCTTTTTATTGCATTGAAACACAAGTAAATTAAAACAGATCAACTATAGAATCCACTTGTGCCAAGTTAATTATTATTCAACTTAAGCAAGCTTAACCTTGGAGTCATAAGCAACTCCAGCCTTCCAGTGACGCGGAATAACATTATCCAGCTTAACGAATTTCACAACTCCTCCTAGCAGTCCAGCATCCTTGAGTTTCAGCTTGAGCGAAATCGGACCCTTTGGTGGATTAGGAAAATCATAAACGGCACCGTCTTCATGCTTCATGTCCTTCCATTGCTTCACACTTCCACCGTAGATTTGGATGCCCAAAACGTCGTATTGGCCACCTTGGTACACCAAAACAATGGACAAATGTTCTCCATATACACTCTGCTCCGTTACCTTGACCATCAGGTTGTCGTGACCAGGATACCGACATGGAACTCTCTTGTACTTCACGTCGAGGAGAGACTTTGGAAGCAATTTGGAAACCTTGTTTGGTAGAGCCATGCTTTGCAAGGCGTGCGAGCTGAGGATGAAGTCTCTTTCCTTGTCCCCAAAACCGCGATCTGTCACCACTATGTTCACTCCTTCACTGTTGCAGACGCCTTTTATCCCGCACTTCACCTGATCGTTGATGGGAATTGTGTCAATCGTATCAAACCTTGAAAATACTCAACACTGAACACTAAGATTACGTGGTTTCCCCAATGATGTTGATCGTTGAGACTAGTCCACAGGAGAAGACTGTGATCTCTTATTCACGTTCACAGTAACTTACAATAGCCGAAACCCCTCCACAAACATATATAGCCAACCCTAAACCACGTCAAAACTCAGAACAGGATAGGAAAATATGTACATGGCAAATTACATACAGGTACCTACACCTTTAACTTCTAACATATTGGTGATATATATATGTTAGGAGAAAGATAGAGTGTGAAAGAAAAAAGCCAACCAACGCCATCAATATAATTACCTGATCCTACCCCAAAAAAATATAATTACCTGATAGCATGCACCACAAACGGTTCCGTTTTTCCAAAGCTTGCTAGAGGCGTCGGCGACATTGCCATAGTTGTAAGCCGCGCCGGTTTCGCCATAGCCGCAAGCTCCGGTTGGAGTTCCTAAGCCACTGGTCATGCGGTAGTAAGCGACTCTGCCTTTTACGTAAGACGACGAGGGAGGTGCGGTAGCATGAGTCAGTGGTGCTGGCAGAACCACCGACATGCAAACGATTGCTAGGGTTAGACCCAAAAAGCCCTTCATTTGCCAAGTTACTCTAACTGTGTTAATGATGTTTAGGGATGAATGTGGAAAGCTGTAGAAAAGAAAGACACAAATCTTAAAGTGTATTTATAGAGATGTGATGAGGCACGTAGCTAGGCGGTAATGGTAATTCCCGATGGCTGCTTGCTATTTGAGCTAGTGTATTGGTTTAAGCTGCTTTAGAGGCGCCCATTGGTTTTGATTAATTTGTGTCTTTAATTTGGGACTATGGGTTTTGCCGTTAGAACGTTAATCCATTGTGCTTTCTTGTATATTTGATATTTATTGTATATTTGATAGGGGTGGCTATACGGTCCGGTCTGGTTAAATTGGCCCAAATTGATCCGGTCCAGTCCGGGTTTTTTGAAAATATAAGGACCAAAGATTGGATTGGATACAGTCCGGTATTGATCCGGTCCGTCTTGACCCGGTCCGGTCCCAATTCGGTCTTGATTTTATATTGAGATTGTGGGAATTTGAGTGGCCTAAGGCCTAAAAGGGTGAGGAGTTGGTTAAGTTTTGTACTAAGTGCAAAGGTTTGTGACCGTTTATGCAAATTACCCTTAAGTTTTGGGTGTTGAGCTCTCTTATCCGGTCTTTATCCGGTTTTTTACCTCAAATCTAAGCCCAAAGATTGGATTGGATTGTTTACTATTCGGTCCCGGTCCGATCTCAATCTGGGTTATACGGTCCGATTTCCGGTTTTTCATCCGGTCCCTGTCCAAATAGCCCGCCCTAATATTTGAGCTTGCACAAACTGTGTGTTCATTTGCCGAATTAATTGAACAATTTGGTCACTCGCTCTTGCTATTTGTGTCGCTAGACACATGTTTAATTTGACCATATATATGTGGGCTGCTTTTCTTGATTAGCCTACACGTAATACTGTGGCCTTCCATTTTTATTAAATAAACCGCCATCCTGTCCAATCCGGATATCTAGCGCTTCCTAGGGCTATTAGTATTTAATAATTATTGAGGAGTAAGGACATTATTATACGATCTTATAACAGTTAAACGAGGTGGTGATCATTTTTTTTATAGGATAACGATGTGGTGATAATTTCGTAAACAATTACATTAAAAAAATTTAGACCTTGAATGGATAAGATTTTAGTATTATAGACCTTAAATCTCAAAATGGTACATGATATTTTTTTCCATATATTTTGGCAAATCAATACTATCGATTATTGTTTCTAATCAAATTAATTTTAGTGTATGTGATCTATAGAATTAAGATATAAATTTTCATCTTTGCACTTGTATCATTTGGCCCCTCCGTACTCTTTCTTTTCCACTTTAAAACAAGTTCACGCCCCTACGCATTAATGCATGCTCAAAGTGAAGAAACTTCCACACTCTGGAACACTGATTCGGCGCAAACCAGCTTGGGCAGACAGACGAGCGGTTTGGCCAATGCCATGTTGAACCCTAACGTCGTTTCCATATTCACACTCTCCTCCCCGTTCTCAAGCTTCCAGTCATAGCAATGAACCATGGCCGCCACCGCACAGTGTATCACACTGAGCGCCATGGCGGAACCAACACACATCCTCCTTCCCCCGCCAAACGGGATAAAGCCGCCATGATGAGATCTTCTGCCGCTATCGTCAGAAGATTTCAGGAATCTTTCGGGAGAGTAGTCGTCAGGATTGACCCAAACCGCTGGGTCTCTCATTATGGAGTAGACATTGATGGCCACCGCCGTGCCTTTCGGTATGTCGAACCCTCCGACGTTGCAAGTCTCCCGGCAGGCCCTTGGTACCACCACCACCGGCGGATGTAGCCTCATCGCCTCCTTCACGACGGCTTGCAAATAGGGAAGGTTGGGAATGTCTGTTTCTTCCACCAGCCTGCCGTTGTTGCTGCTTCCGATTAGGTCGTGGATTTCTTTTCTGACCCTCTTGAATACTTCTGGATGGTTGATGAGCTCTGCCATCACCCACACCGTTGCATCTGTTGTAGTGCCTGTGCCAGCAAGGAATAGATCCTGAGAGAAGCAAATGAATTGGATTAGCCTTGAGGTTTTGATTAAACGAATCTGTTGCTGTGACCGAAGACAGATTATATGCCAGGGGTTTTAATTAAGGTTATGTCGTCTGAAGAATGTGCTATATATATTTTTTCAATCTCTGTATTAATCTATAACTTTTCAAGGATAGTGAAACTGATATCTCCTTCTCATAGCTAATACATGCACATCGTATTAGTGAATCGCATAAATCTGTGTGTGTTTTTTACTTTCTTGTGAGCGGTTACTACGCATTATGCAATGCATGCTACGTCGTTTATTTTGTTGGATGAGGGCATGCGAATATGCAGTTGATTAATTACCAGGAAGAATGCCTTGATGTTTTTTCTGGTGACGTTGACCTCAGCATTTGGATCCTTCGACACTCGTAGGAGAATATCCATCAAATCATCACAATTGGTTTCATCATCAGCGCCACCACCACTTCTTTCTTCGTGTTTCTTCAAGATTCCTTCCAGCAACTCGTCAAACCTGGCCGGCACTTCCGTAGCCTGCTTGCGGAGCATGAAACGTCCCAGTTTCTTGAAAGGGCCAAGCATACTCGTGAGGAGCATTTTGAGTGTCAGGTCGCGTGTAGCGTTCACCAACGTCCGGTACCTCTTTGCTTCGTTGTCTTCCTCCGAACATTTCATGCTCATGGCCATCCTGCACCAACAGATCGAACATGCATGTTTATACTAAGATTAATGATAACTGAGTCGGCTGACCGTTAATCAATTCATTAGTTTGTGGTTAACTATTGACAGATTCTTTTAAATATTAGCTTATTCGCCAAGTCTAGACTATACGATTGACTAGTAAGTAACTTACGGGTCCATCAACGTCTATTGGCCAAGCTTATTCTTTCTGATAATTTTTATTAGATACTGTATTGTAATTTTATCAATATTTTTTTAACTTATTTTAAAAAAACGTTTAGGTATTTAATCGTAACAAATTTAAGTTTTGATACCAAACTACATATTTAAGTTTCGAATCCATGGGTGAAGACACAAATCAATACATTCCAAATGACCATAGGGTATGAACCCACCAAACTTCACATATTTATATCGTATTTCATTTTGTGTTCAAATTCAAATTAGGACAAAAAAATTATTTAGCAGTTAATTGGATAAAGTAGCGGTTAACCGTTAACGGATTTGTCAATTAGCAGTTAACCACTAACAAAAAAAATTCTTTCTATCGGTAGCCAACCCTCCACATCAATTAAGCATATGATATAAGAAGATTCCCTCAATTTTGTTGAATTCCATAGTAATATTTGGTATTTCTAAGAAAAAAGGTACCTAGTGCAGGCCAGAGGAAGCTGGGGTTTTCCCCTTGTTGTACCATTTAGCGACGGGTACTACCGTGTGAGAATACAATTTCGGATATTCAATTTAACGACGGTTCCAATAACTATAATGACGATCAAGATTGTGGCAAAATTTTCCCAATGCTCATTTTGACGGTCGATCAAAACAATCGCTAAATAATTTATGGACAGCAGGGTCAACAAAGGACAACTGCTCGGGGTCAAATCTTTTAACGACGGTTCTTTCCGTCGCTAAATAACAATAAAACTGACGCTAACTCAACTCCTTTCTTGTAGTGATCCTAGTATTTATTGATTTAACCGTTGAGAGAGTATTAACGGTTAAGTTAATGGTTAATCTGATAACCACCTAACCAGTTATCATTCATATGACAAGTACATCTGAATTTGAATAATATAATTTATAATTTGTCTCTACTCTCTAGTGGATTATTTTTTAAAATGAATGTTATAACAGTTGACCTTATACCATTCGCAGGATCTCGAGTTTTTTCGATGAGTTGACTTTTGACTTTAATTAGAGTTAACAGTTGATAAGCCAATTAAGCAAAGAGAGTTAATTACACAGACCTGCAAATGATGTTATTGCCGAGCGTCAGTAGCTCATCCCTCAAATCCACGGCGGCCGTCGCCTGGCTCTTCATCGCCAGCCGCCTCAAAAACCGCGCCAGCTCTTCCCGCCTCACGCTCCTCGACCGCTCCAGCTGGCGCGTGGAGAACAGCTCCGTGACGCACATCTTCTTCATGAACCTCCAGTACTCGCCGTAGGGCGCCGTCACGAACCCCGAGTCCCCGAACAGCAGTCGGTCCGCGAGCGGCGACTCGGGCTTGCCCGCGAAGCTGACGTCATGCTCGCGGAAGATCTCGTCGGCGAGAGGCGGCGACGAGACGAGGACGACGGGGTAGGAGCCCAGGGGGCCAAGATCAGGTGACTAAGAGGGGGGGCCTTAGTCACATAACTAAGTGAATCTCAGCCCTTCCATATCATTAAAATCTAATGGCTCAGATTAATCCACTTTAATGAAGGACAATGTAGTAATTTCATCTAAAATTTAATTTGTTTATTAAAATTAAAAAATAAAATCTGCTCGGCTGCTTCTCTCTACCTTCCGCGCGACGAGACTCTCCGCCGGTCCAACAATTGCGTGGGAATTTACCTCCGGCGATGGCGTGGGGATTTTCCCGATGGGGATTTTTCTTCGATGGTACCCGCGCCGCCGTTCCCAGGGGAGGAGTACCCGCCGTTCCCAGGGGAGGCTTGTGGGATTAATTGGGGAAACAAGAGAGAGAGAGCTGTTGGGATTTAATTTCCCCAAACAAGCAGCTATAGAGAGAGAGAGGGAGGGAGGGAGGGAGGGAGGAGGAGAGAGAGAGAGAGAGAGAGAGAGTTCTTGTCAACTTTTCCGGCGACGGCGGAGCAGTTTTCCGGTGACCAGAGACTGTGGTGGATGATTTTCCGGCAACAGTATTGAGTTCGTGATGTTTGTAATGTTTATATTATTATTTTGTATACATTGTAATGTTTGTAATGTTTGTAATGTTTGTTTGTCTAGTTTGTATACTTTATGTTATGATTTATACACTTTCTATTCATTGATTTGTATTTGTAACTTTTGTTATTCATGTTAGTATACTTTTATGT